TGTTTGGAGTGAGAAAGTTGCAAGAGAAAAAAAAAAATTAGAGAGAGAAACAGCCGTCTCTCTGAAAACCCATCATTCCTATTAACAAATGCAGCAGCACCTGATGCAGATGCAGCCCATGATGGCAGCCTATTATCCCAACAACGTCACCACTGATCATATTCAACAGGTTCTTCTTCTTCTTCTTCCCTTTTAATCTTGCTTCTTAATCCCACCCACTTGGAGTTTTTGATTTCTTTTTAATCATTTCCCTTTTCTCTCAACTGGGTTTGTGTTTTGGGGGATGTCTATTGTTCTATAGTCTATTGTCTATTGTCTTCCCTTTTCTACTTTTCTTCTTCCTTTTTTTAAATATTGGGTTTGCTTTCTTTCACGTGCCCTTGTCTCTATTGAATGATTTGATTATCTAATTACAGAAGCTAAGGACCAATCCATCTATGGCTTTGCTTCTCCCTTTTTCTTCTCCTTTATTTCCATCCCTCTTTTCCTCATTAACTATTTGTTTCCTTATTGGTCAATGGTTAATCACTGTTGGTTTTTCAATTGCATGATTGACTTCTGCCTTTTGGCCTAAATCAAAGTGGAAAAAGAATCAAAACTTGTTGGTTGCTTTTTTTTCCCTTTATCTCTCACAATCAAGTAGAAAATAAAGGGAAGAGGTTTGTTTCTCCACATATGAAAGAGATTCTGTCATGTGTGAGCTTGTTGTGAACATTTGAAGCACTTTGGTTGCTTATGAGAAATAGTAGCTTGATTCGGATACTTGAAGTCCCTGGTAAAGTGGCATATTGGGCAATGTTCAGAGATGGAACAGTTGAGAGCTTGAGCTCTTTGAGGACTATAAAGGCTGTCATGGAATGATGGTTCTATCAGTTGTTCTAATTTAGGATGGATAAGTTTATTAAACTTTTATTCCCTTTTCTGGTTGATTTTGTAATACTATCTCTTGACATTGACATGAGCATGTTGGATGTTTAAATCTCACTTCAATGCTTTCCACTTTATGTTCTTTGATATGTTGGCCCAAACTACTTGTAAATGAATGTACCATATAGAAGTCCATAAATGTATTTTCTAACTTTTATTATACTATGACTCGATCTTTGTGCAAAATCAAATATTCTCGTAACCCACATAATATTAAAATCTTATGAATTCTTGGACGACCAAATATTATAGTTCAAAACAGTTGTCCTGTGAGATTAGTGACCTTGGAACTTGCTGTAGAGGAAAATAATATTCTATGTGCTGATAGACAAAATAAACACATGAAAGTATTGAACTTATCAGCATTCTACTTTGGTAATTTTTAAACCAATCTGTGACAAAGGATGGTGTAAAAGTTGATCTATATAAGTAGAGAAATTGAAAGTGTTTATATAGTATCTTTTTGTCATGCTATGATGGAAGAGAGAAGGTTGAATAGTGATTGGTCAATCTTGAAACAGTATCATAAGTTGCTGTCTGGTTCTGATTCCTCTGAGTTGCTTTCAAGGATCATGCATTTCGTCACATGTTTTTTAAGGTTTATGATGTCTGATCAATCAAATCGAACAATGTATAGTATTTGGTAGATTCTACACAAATTTAGGAATTTCAACTCATAATCTTTTGTATTTTTAAAATGAGATTCTTTATTCAAGAATGATTGGTTAAACGAGTAACAGCCGTTTCATTTTCAATGGAGTCTGACTTGTGGCAGAACTTTTTTTTTCCTTTCCTTCTTGTTTTTTTTTGTAAATCAGTACTCTAGTAAGTTCTTTATTTTTTCATCAAAATGACGATTTTCATTAGCTTTCTAGCTTGATTGTTGTTATCCATTTTATAGATAACCATCCTTTTCTAACTTCTAATCTGTTATAATCTATGTCGCAGTATCTGGATGAAAACAAGTCACTGATATTGAAGATTGTTGAGAGCCAAAATTCAGGAAAATTGAATGAATGTGCAGAGTAAGCATTAATGCATTTCTTTTCGCATATAGCGGTATCGCGCTCTTCAAATAACTGTCTCGATGTGTATTGTCTCTTCCAGTTTAATCTAGTAGGTGCTAAGACACAGAAGAATGGGTTTCAACATCTAGTCTCGGGATAATCTGTTTTTAGTATTGTACAAAGTTTTGTGGGGGAAAAACAGGGTTCTTTTGAAAAGTCTCTGTGGTAATAATCCTCCCTGATGATACTGCTGAGGTCACTGTCTCGGTCTGCTTGATGGTTTTATCGGCTTTTTTATCGTGTTGATATCCTGATACATCGATTGCTATTGTTGTTCTTCATTCAAATTCACGGTGATCAATCAATACTTCTACTTGAGTGAGTTACATGGATGAAAAATGGAAAGATGTCTAATCATTCAACCTAAAATTCGGTTTCTGGATTAGATGTAGGAGAAATAAGATAGTATGATAAGTATTTTGTCGAAACGAGGCCGAGAACGAAAATATCTAGATTGGCTATTAAAGTAGGCCTATATCTAGGAAGTAAGAACTTATCCATCTTCCATAAAGGAGCAAGATAACATCATGGTTCTTTGGTTGGTTCGATTTTCAATACATCAAATGATGAAACAATGTCACCCGTAGTGTCTAGCTTCCGAGCCTGAGATTGGTGATTTGGTTCCTGATGCTAAACTTTTATGTATATTTAGACTTGATGATACAGTCATTACTGGTTTGAATTAGACTGCGTTATGACCCCGATAAACGAAGGTTTTGAAGAGCAAAAGTAACTCTTTTACCTTTTTTTGTGCAGGAATCAAGCAAGGCTACAGAGGAACCTCATGTACCTGGCTGCCATTGCTGATTCTCAACCTCAACCTTCTGCCATGCATGCCCAGGTATGAACATAATTCTTTCAACTTTCAAGACATAGATTTATCCAATCACTAGCTTCGCATAGTAAGAGTAAGAACATTGCCGATACGTTTACACCCTGTTTTATCGTTTTCTAGAAAACTCTCAGTCTTGGCCATATTTAACGACCATTTCCATTGCATCACCCTACACCAATGGCCATGACTGCGATTCGGAACCCTCATGCCTCAGGTCCTTACCCTCTGGTTTTTAGAGTGTTAGAAGCCCCACTCTTTACATTATGTTCATGCAGTCACGCCCCACTACTGAGACATATGGATAGATATCGATCTAGGCAAGACTTGCTTACTAATCATTGAGAGGCTTTGCCTGCTCTTTAGTCCGCTTCGTTAGACAAGGATTTTAAATTATTATGTTTTCAATTTAAGAGCTTGAACTGAGGACCTTAAAGAGTATCTCCCAACATTTCGAAGTCTTGAAACTAAACGGAGTTGCAACTAATGTTCAAATGTTTTGCTTTTGCCAACTTCTCTCCAGTACTCTTCCAGTGGCCTAATGCAGCCAGGAGGGCATTACCTTCAGCACCAACAAGCTCAGCAGATGACACCGCAGTCGCTGATGGCTGCCCGGTCCTCCATGTTGTACCCCCAGCAGCAGTTTTCGGCGCTGCAACAGCAGCAAGCATTGCACAGCCAACTCGGGATGAGCTCCGGAGGAGGCATAGGATTCAACATGCTGCAAAACGACACCTCCAATGCAGGAGGGGGCAATGGAGGAGCACTTGGGGCAGGAGGATTTCCAGATTTCGGACACAGCGCTGCAGGTGACAGCCTGCACCGGGGCCTAGCCGGTGGGAGCAAGCAAGATATGGGTGCAACTGGGTCTGCAGAGGGACGAGGAGGGAGCTCGGGGAGCCACGGCGGGGACGGCGGTGAAACTCTCTACTTGAAGGCAGCTGATGATGGGAACTGAAAGGCATAAGAGTAAGGGGGGCTTTGTTCAGTGGGTTGATGGTAGAAAAAGTTAGGTGAAAAGAAATTAGGAAGATAAAGAAGAGAAGAAACCTTCTTGCCAAAAAAAAGCACTGGCTTTTAGCTTAATTATGTGTAAACAATGGTGTGAGGATTGAAACCCTCATTAAACTTTGACCTTTGCTGTTTTTTTCCTTCTATGTTGAGATAATATAATGTGTTTCTAGTGTATTATGTAAATTTTCTTCTCTTCTTCTGTGCTTATAATATTGTTCATCCCTTTTTAAACATTCTTTAAATAAGAAGTGCAAACCTAACATTTCTTAAAAATTATTAACCATTAATTGACTTTGATAATAATAATATGTCAATTTAACATTATCAAGATTTAATACTAGGTATATATATATATAATATATATATATATATATATATATATATATAAAACTTTTCTTCTGGAAAAATGGTCAACCTACATCCATAAGGAAATATATTAGATACTTGATTAGCCAAGCTATGCTTAGGTCAGTAAATATAATGTTAATTAATTATGTTTTATGCATACGTGAGTCGTAATATGTTTGTAATAATCTCGAGTTATTGTCCATAATTTGGTTGTTCTCACCATGAAACTTTTTCTATTGAATTTAACGAAAATCTTACATAGCATTGTGGATTTGTATTTAAAGCCATTTGGTATCAAGTTTCTTAATTTTGGCCAATTTTCCTTTTTTTTTTTTGGGTAAATGCCTTATGAAGATAGATGAATTTATAATTAGGATTATTTAAAACTTGAAATTATAATCTACTATTAACTTCTGAGCAAGTAAGCTTAATAAGGTTAAATTACAAGGTTTACCTCATAACTATGTATGAATTTTCAATTTTACCCTTAAATTTAAAAAAAAAATTAAATATATATGTACACGTCCTTTCAATTTTTAGGACATTTCAAAAGTTATACTTGGAGCCAACAAGATTTTTGATCGAAACAAGAAGCAACATCCATGTAATTTATGCTTCAATTTTGTCCTAAGATTATATATTAATAATATTGTCAAACCAAGCATAGTTCAAGTGGTTAAAACAGACCAAAGAAAAATAAAAATATCTAATAAAAAGAAAAAAGAAAAATATTAGTTCATGAGTTCATGGGTGAGTGTAGATTCCAATCAAATATGATCTAGGTAGAGCGAAATATGATCCCCATATGTTGAAATAAAAAGAAAAAAAGAAAAATAATAATATTATATCACAAATGAGGGAGTGTAGATTCCAATCAAATATGATCTAGGTAGAACGAAAATATACAAATATCTAATAAGTTCAGCTAATGTTTTCTCCCCTTTTTTTTCACTATATTTAATTTAATAATAAAAAGAATTGTGGGATCAAAGTTTTAAATGTGGATGTTGATAGGAATGTCGAAGTTTCAATTTCATGGAAATATGAATGAAAATATGGATAAAATATCGATGTCGATAGATATTTCTAAAAAAGTTATAAAAATTAAAAATTCGTAAAAATATTTACCTTAACAAATAAGCTAGCATTTCATATTTTTAAATAAGATAAAAATAATTAATACTAATATTATATCTATATTAGCGGGATTTTATTGATATTTTTCATGTTAATTTTTTTGTAATATTATGAAAATGTTTATTTATGGACAGGTTAACATCTATTTAATATCATGGTTAAGATATGATCTATTATTAATATTTCAATAATCAAACTCGAAACAACACAACTCAAAAAATTAACAAATTAAATATTAGTGCATACTCAACAACCACACCTTTTTTGAAACTTTTTCAAGCATTCATATTCAACAATTCCTTTGGGATTCCAAAAACAAATAATAGTAAAATTTGCTTCAAATTACATCATGAGACACACCCATAGGAAAAAAAAAAGAATTACACAAAATTTATTTTATGGAAAGGAAGAAAGAATCAAAGAAAAGTTTGTATGAACTAGCTATATACAAACTTGAAAAAAAAAAAAAATTTAAGTTCCTCCATCATCACCATGTGTTTCAAGACGAATCTGGCTTCTGGGTCTGGTAATGGTTAGCCACGGCATCAGCAGCAAAACCAGCAACATTCAGGCCGGGGAAGGCAGAGGAGGAGCCACCATGGACGACGGCCGCGACGTCGTCCACATCGCTCAACGTGCAGCGGCCACGGCTGAGGCCTGGGATAAGCGAGCAGGGATTCCTCCCGGAGCTAGGCACGGGGCCTCGCTGCAGCACCGCCATGGGCAGCAAGACCCTGGCCGCAGACACGTCGAAAATAATAGTGACAATAAGAAAAGAAAAGGTGGCGGCCTTGAGAACAGTGGAAGCCATATATGAGAGGAAATTAAAGCTGGGGATTGAGAATATATTGCAGAAGATGAATATATATGGAGGGGGAGATTTTGAGGTGTATTATATATAAGAGAGAGAGAAGAAAAAAGGTGATGGAGTTGACTGAGACAAGCCGCGGGAGAGGGAGGGTGTGGTTTGAAAGGTTGAAATTTGAAGGATTCAACGCCAACTACTCAGTCATTAACTCTAATTCCCATGCTCAGGAATCTTTCCGCTAATTACTATTAAAAATTTGACTACTATTTATTCTTTTGCGTTTGTCTCTCTTATTTGTAAAAAGATGTGAGCAAGAGGGTAAGTATTATTCACGAGTGAAGAGGAGGGTTTGAATCTTGAGATACTTGTTTTATGGTCGTTGAGTTATCTAAACTTAACAAAATAAACACACAGCTGAAGTTTAGAGACTAAATTTACCATTTGACCCATTTTATCTGATATTTAGAAACAACTAAATTAACGAGTAACAAAAAAGGGAAGATGTTAATTATGAAAGAAGTCCTTAATTTTATTAAGTATATTACTTCAAATGTGTATGTGTGTAAGCATAGTTTTCAAAGAAAATGTAATTTCTTAGATGTTCCCACTCCTTTTCTCTGTCTAAATAACAATAGTCAAAGGTTGAATCTGTAAAGGGCTTATAAGAGAATTGAATATAACACATATACAAAGGCTGATATCAAAGGTTGAATATAATACTATAGACACAGAAGAGGCTGATCAAAGGTTTGAAAAATATGGCTCTTGTTGGGTTTTTGGTTAGCAACTTTTTGTAGTTTCTTTTGAACCGTCCAGCTTCCTCTAAAATGTGGCACTTTGAGAACAGAATCAATGGAGAACACCTTGCTAGGTGGGTTCAAAAAAGTCAACCCCTCGGGGAAAAAAGAAAAACACGAGTCATATTCAATATGTTTTGTCCTCCCTCATTTGCTTTCTAAGAAAATTCTCGACGAAGTCGCCTAACATAAGATTATTCTAACACGCTCAACTTTATAGTTCTGGCATTGAAAAAACCAGTTTCTGTATAGTTTCAAGATTCCTCTCATTTGGATGGCTTTTCAGTATAATTTCAAGATTCATCTCATTTGGACGCGATGCTGGTTTTCATTTATGTTCCTAGGCTATTTTTCAAGAATGCAAATTATATTAGTCACATGCTTCTTCTTAGATAAAATTCTTTTTTTAGTATATACAACATATGAGATGGAGATTTCGAACTCGCGATCTTTTAGTCAGTGCTTTAACTAGTTGAGCCACACTCGATAAAATTCAAACTTAAAATAGAATTCCTCTCATCTTTCAAGGACACATTTAACTAGTGAAAAACGGAACTACCAAAAAGGAAGATGATTTGTTCATATAATTAGTATCAATCTATTGATTTTTAAAACTTTTTTTAACAATTGCTATATTATATATGCTCGTACTATTTTAGAGTCCTCATTCAATTCTTGTGTTTTCTAGTCAAGAAGTTTGCGACAGTTACTCCTCGTGTCACATGTTAATTTCAATAAATGTCAATCAATATTTTTATTTTATGGAATAGTTATTGATTTACCTGACTAATGATTAATTAGTTGAGCTCTCATAAATTGAGTTTATTTTCTAAATTCAATCAACTTGAATTCATCAATTTATTAATTGAAACGAGAGAAAGACGGGTACCCTATAAAAATTGAGAAGTAAAAGTTAAAAAGTTAGAGAAGTAAAGATGAGACGAGAATATAAAATATATTCGAAACCTTAATGAAGACAGTCGAAAAATGTAGAGGGTGAGAATTTGAACAGTTAAAAATAAACAGAGTAATCTTTATAGCGATGGATACTCATATTGGCTTGGTTTGATTCGTTGATGAGCGTGACTTGTAATCTTCATTAAAGGGCCCTTTATCAGGTAAATTTCACAAACTCACCAGCTAAAGGAGGGAGAGAGTGAAAAGGCTTTTCATTTATCATAGAGATCACAATGAATATCATACAACTGTTACAATATTCACACAACCAACTCCTTTTTACATAAAATTTTCACTCAATCCACTCCAAAAATGGAAAACAAAAATAAGAGAGATGCAAAAAAGGAATACAGAAGAATTATCACAATAGGTAGGGTAAGAGTTAAAATCCTAAAAGTGGTAGTTGCTACACCAAAATAATAAGTCTCACTGTTTACTTTCAAATCCTTTGTATTCTTCATATCTTTGGAGAAAACAAGCTATTGAAACCGTACAGTTGACCGAAGATCTTGCTCGGTAAACGACGACGTCTTTCTCCTCTGGATGTAACTGGTAGAAAATGATAAAAACACAACCTTTTGTGAATATGAAAAGTCATATAGCAGAAAGAACAATAATATAATCAGTAGAGACCATGCACATGTGAGTTGAGCAGATTTCAGGTTGAAATACTCACTTTTAATTAGTTTCTTTGAAGCATATCAACAGGCCATCCTTCAACTTCTTATCCCAATTTTACGTAGCTCTCGCAAATGGGAAGCGATCTCTTGAACAAACTGAAGGCCCTCCTCTCCTTTTCGTAGCGAATTAATAGAGTGCTCGAGAAAATTCTTGTCAGATTCTAGTGCTTCCATCCTCTTGTTAAGATTGGAGATCTCGTTTCCTAGAGACGACAGGGAATTCCTATCACTACAATCAAGTTCACTACCTTCTTTGTCGAAATCAAGGTCATCTGCCCCACTTGAAAGATTTCCTTTGTTTCCAAAATATTCGCCATTGCCGAAATTCATCGATACTTCGTTATTTGAAAACGTATGAAGCATATTCTCCAGCTTCATCAGATATTGCATAATGTCTAACTTCTCATCTTCAAACTCCAACAATAAACTGTTATATGTACCGCCTTCACTTCCAACTTTATCATGAATCTCAGGTATTGCTCCAATCTGATTAGATTCTAAATGAACCACCCCAATATCTCTTTCCTTCACATTAGAAGTCGCCACCAAATTATCTATGGTGAATTCATTAGGAAATTTAATCCGATAATATTCGAGTTCTGCTTCCAGATCTTGTATCTCTTTGTCCTTCTCATTAATGAGATCATTTGCCTTCTGCAGTGCATCGTCATCATACTCACTTTGCTCTTCCATCATTCTTAGACACTGTAAGGCCTCCATGTGAAGATTTGCCTTCTCTTCTTGAAGCCTGGTAATCATGGCCATTGCCTGATTTGCAGCTATTGCAGATGCATTTCTTTCCTCCTCCAATTCCTTGTATAAACAACTCATGAGCCTCTTATCGTGATCGACCTGCCGTTTTAACCGATCAACCATGTTCTCACCTTCGATTTCACTCACAATGCTTCCATCAAGAGATTCTAAACCGGACTCGTTTCTTTCAAGCGTAACCCTCCTCTGTAGTATCTGCATCCCAACTGCACTTGACACATCAAAATTCCTCGGTTCATCACCATTTATCGACAGCCTTGGACTCATGTCCCTTGATTGGTCATTCATCCGGTTGAACGAGAGTTGTGAGAAGAGAAGCTTCAAGTCTTCACTAACTCTCGAAGAATCCTTCCCGATCCATTGTTCCGAGAGCTTGCCAGACAATTGTCTTACTCCTCTAGTGCCTACAGCTAGCTTATAAGCATCACCAAGCTCCAATATGTTGGGTGCCACCTGAGCACCATCACTTGTAACAGGTTGGGCTTCTGAACCTGCTTCAGATGTTGTTTTTATTGCCAAAATCCCCGCCTTCTCAGTTTCCCCGCACTCCGTCTCATATTCTTCACTTCTCGCGACATCTATTGGCACAAAAAAAAAAAAATTTACATACGTGATAGTCACAAAGAACTCATTGAACATTACAATTAAGTTAAATTCCTCAAAACTCATCTATCTGGTTGCACCTATAAGAGAAGTTTTCCATGGAATTCAGGGCATAAGGAAATTAACTTGTTGATGCTGCCTATGCTCTGATTCCTAATCTTTGCATAATATAAGTTCTATATCAATAAATATTATATGTATAGCATCAGTTTTGATCAGTGCGTTGCCTAATTACCATGAGACAATTGATTTTTGTCTTAAAATTTTGTTTTATGTCCTATGGCCCAAAGCAAGTGAACAATCTAGTATCAGAACAGAGTGGAGAAAAGAACTTACAGCTTTCTTCCAAAACTTCAACAGAGTTTGCCATTGTGTTGGAAGGAGGAATTGTGTTGTCCAGGGAAAGAAGATCAGTTTGTGAAGAGAAACTGCCATTAGCTTTTGCTTGCTTCGGAGTCAATTCATCCAAGCCATGCCCAAGCGAAACTCCACATTCTATAGGAGGCAGTGCATCACCTATTAGGACCGGTGGCTCTAAGACCAACGGTTCTGGGGCCGAAGCTGGCTCTATGAGTTTCGTCGAGGTTAAATCACTGGCCAGAGAAATTAAGTTAGGCTCCATATGTTCAGCCTCCAGAGTGATTCCATTTCCATCAGACTCGGTATCAGAAGTGATCTTCAGCCCACTGTACTGAACATGAGGTAAAGAATTGTCTCCTTTGGTTTCATTTGGATGAGAAGGTCCAAACAACATCGGTTGATTGCTTGGAGACTCTTGGCTAACGTCCTCATATTGGACAACAGATCTCGACAAGGGATCATTGAGATCTTCAGCCTCTAATCCACTTGATCTGGTTTGGATTAATGTTTGAACCAACCCTCTTGAAGAAACACATGGCTCATTACAACATGAACAATATCTTTGGCTCGATGTATCAAGCTCTCGATCCCCAAGCAATGGATCTCTGTCAATACCAGGATAAGGATCCTCCCCCAATTTACCAACCAATAATCTGTAAGTCTCGGCGTTCGACTTATTGATTGTTGCAAATGAGAAGAGGCAGCTTTCGCACATTTCATGAACATTTACAAGTTTGTTGTGAGCATGACAAAGAACCAAGGATGAAATTTCCTTCTTATGATTGCCACAAATTAGTTTCCAGATGAAACCTCTTTTCTCAGAGCCAAAAACATGATCGAGTCTCGAACATAGCAGACACGGGGTGCGCAGTTTCCATAAATGAGCACATTTCGTGATGAAGAATGAGAATATGGAATCAAAAAATAGCATGATAATCAGCAGCCATTCAGAAAGAGCAGATAGCAAAGATGTAAGAAAAATTCTTTCAGTACACACTTCAACAGATGAAGTTTCCATTATGGCCAATGTCCCAACAAAACCGAGTTTATAGGATGAGATAACTGTCTCTAGTGCAAAGACTTCAATCCTCTGAAGCAGTCCAAAAGGAAACTCAATCAAGCATCAACTGTGGGGAAAGAGAAATTACAACACATTAATAAAAGCGCAAAAAAGCAGCATGATTATGAAGAAAACAACGCTTCTCCTCCCTGATTCCGACCCGCCCAACGAAAAACCAGGCATGGGGAGACAGGAAAGATTC